GGGGGGAACTCTTACTTGCTGAAGAGAAACTCAGGGCTGGAGCAGAACACTTAAGCAAAATTAGCTACTTATCCAGCCCCTTGATGCTCTTACTTAACAGGTGCTGGAGTCATGGTTTTAAGAGAGAAGACAAATGCCCCACACATCAGTTATGTAGGTGACTATATAATCAAAACATCAGAAAACCACCAGAATTGACACTTTTCCAAGTAATCTTAAGGTAGTTGCTTATGGATATGCATAAATAACTATATGATGCTATTAGGTCCCTAACCTCCTCCAGTATGCATTACATATTAGTTATGGACCAGCAGTGAATGAAGCTGTTTTCTAAAGTAATTCCACCTCATTTGCTATTTATCCTACAAATTCTGCATCCAATAGGGAAGATGACTGCAGGAAGAGGCAGGAGAGTTTCCTATTTACAAAGCTGATTGCCTTTTGGAGAGCACAGCTGAAGGTCCCTCCTTAGGCAAGCCTTTCAAATCCAGATGTTCAGAGACGAGCACTGGTGTTACATTCTTAAGCGCATGACACAATAAGCAATTTTAGGAGTGCTGAGCATTTGCCACTGTAGTTGATGACCATTCAGAATGTTTCAGGGAACTACTTGAGCCTTAATACCTAAAATTAAAGAAATAAATCTGGTAAAATTATCTTTGCACCTCAATTCTCTATCTCTTTAGTCAGTCAACGCCAACATGCAGGACACTAACATCATCACCTGACATCACTTCAGGGAGCAGATAGGCCCATGAGCATAAAAGACTGCACTCTGTGTAGGGCTTAAACAATTTTGACAAAATGATATGTTGAGTACCCCAGATAGCAAAAGGTGTCATTAGCAGCCAGTGTAACCACTTCCTTCGTTCTCCATTCTAAACATACTTGATGTGCTCTTGCTAATGGCCATCATAGAAGGTGGAAAAGACACTCAGACTGCAACATAACAGAATTCCATTTCCTGCGTGAATCAAGGCCTTTCACAAAACAAAATTATTTCTCTCCTAATGCAAAATAGCCTTTATTTTGTTTGGCTGAGAGATCCTGAAGTACTCAGAAGGCAGATACCTGGAATGTGAGCAAGTCCAGAACACAGCACATGCAGAGAAGAGTTCAGGGCTTCAGAAAATGAATAGAAACCCCCCAGGTCAAGTTTTCCCAACCTGAGAGAAAGCAATCACTCTTTACAAGTCAAAACCAGCAGAAAAAACAGTGTAAAAATTGCCTTTTTTTTTTTTTTTACGTTATAACTTCAAAATTTTAAACTTTAAGACTAGAAAGAGGCTTGGGCGCATGACCTCCAGGTCATCTATTCTTCATCACCCCTTACACCCAGAGAAACCGCCACAAAAACAGGACTGCAAGAAAGACTTCTGAGGACCCGGCTATGCCTATGCCGACGACGGCGGGCAGAGACACAGCCCCACGCTGTAAAATCCCAACCCTCCCGTAGCCAAAAGGAAGCCACTTGGGATCCCCCCAGCCGGCGGAGGAGGGCAGGCCGGCTCCAATACAGATGCCGAAGGAAGGGAAGAGAAGGAGAAGAACGGGGCG